CTACTCTGGAGCTCTGAACGGAGACATCTACGTATGGAAAGGAATCACCCTGATCCGGACCATCCAGGCTGCACATGGGGTACCAGCTGGCAATCCAACATCTTTGGAGCAGAGCCAACTTGTTTCTAAATACTGGATTGTTTCCTGCTTCACTGTACAGGCAGGAATCTTTAGCATGCACGCCTGTGAGGAAGGCTTTGCCACTGGAGGACGTGACGGCTGCATCAGACTGTGGGATGTGGACTTCAAACCAATCACCAAGATTGACTTGAGGGAGGCAGAGCAGGGATACAAAGGTGTGGAAGCGTTGTCACTTTATCCAGTGGTTGGTAGGGCTCACCTGCTGAAGTTTAGTCACAAATAAACACAGGTGTACCTTGGTCAGTCTGGCCCCAGGTGTACCCAGGAACCTATGTGTTCTTTGAGTACACTTGTTCCACATATATCCAAGGTCACCTAGTGCCAGGTGAGTTCCTTGATACTCACCAGGTGTACCCAGTACCTGGGTACACCTGGAACGACGGAACGACGGTCTGGTTCCGGGTAAAACCCAGCCTTAGATTGGTTTCAATAACAGGTGTTTTCTTTTTCAGGACTGTCAGTTCGCAGCGTTTGCTGGAAAGCAGACCGGATTCTGGCTGGGACTCAGGACAGTGAGATTTTTGAGGTGATGGTTCGCGACAGGGACAAGCCAGTTCTGCTGATGCAGGGTCACAGTGAGGGTGAGCTCTGGGCGTTGGACGTGCACCCCAAACAGCCAGTGGCTGTTACCGGGAGTGACGACCGCTCAGTCAGGTTGGTTTGAACTAAAACTCTCCACCGTTGTCTTCCCTTGTCTGTTTCAACCCCATCTGGGTCTCACCTGTTCGTCTTGTCTATGTCAGGCTGTGGAGTCTACCAGAGCACACCCTGCTGGCACGCTGCAACATGGAGGAGTCGGTTAGGAGTGTGTCCTTCAATAACGACGGCTCCCAGCTTGCTCTTGGTATGAGAGACGGTTCGTTCACCGTGTTGCGAGTCAGGTACTCTCACTCATTTGTCCCTATAGTTACTGCTGGCTCACCAGCTTCATTAGCTGCCTGTGCAGCTAATGAAGCTGCAAAGGCAAGGTGGATTAAATGGTCGGTAAAACCTCTTCCTCTGCAGGGACATGACTGAGGTTGTGCATATTAAGGACAGGAAGGAGGTCATCCATGAGCTGAAGTTCTCTCCAGATAGCTCTTTCTTGGCAGTAGGCTCTAACGACGGCTTGGTGGACATTTACGCCGTTGCTCAGCGCTTCAAGAAGGTGGGAGAGTGCAGCCGCTCCACCTCCTTCATCACCCATCTGGATTGGTCTGTCGACAGCCGCTTCTTGCAGACCAATGATGGTGCTGGCGAGCGGCTCTTCTACAGGATGCCAGGTATGGATCTCAGAGTCCGAACTGGTCAGCTAAAGTTTGAAGAAGCCTGACAAATCTTGAACCCAGCAGGTCGTTACATCTGGTATCAATATGATCTAAAACCCCAGGTCCAGTTTTTTGAACTAAGAGTTGGTTTTGGGTGTGTGTGTTCTGGTCTTGCAGCAGGAAAACTTGTTCCTAAAGAAGAAGCAAAGGGGATCCACTGGATGACCTGGACCGGTACCATCGGGCCAGAGGTGAACGGAATCTGGCCCAAGTACTCCAATGTGACCAATATGAACTCAGTGCATGCCAACTACAGCAGTGCTGTGCTAGTGACCGGGGATGATCTGGGGCTCATCAAGCTCTTTAGATTCCCCTGCCTGAAGAAAGGTTTGTATCTTCCTTCAAACAAGAACATTTGGCAACTTGAGGTTTGACAGAGTTTTTAGACCTGGTTCTGAATTTTCGGAGCTATTTCCTGAATGAACACACAAGTTTCTAACAACTGCTTCCTGACACAGGGGCCAAGTTTAAGAAGTACATCGGTCACTCTGCCCCATGTGACCAATGTTCGCTGGTCTAATGACCTCCAGTGGGTCATCAGTACAGGTGGCGCCGACCACGCGGTCTTCCAGTGGAGGTTCCTTCCTGAAGGTGTGATGAACGGTGTTCTGGAGCCGCTTCTTCAAGGTAGATTAAATCTTTATCTCATCTACCATGAAAGTCCTTTGGCCTTTTGAAACCAAAGGACCCATCAGAACCACAGACAGAACCTCTGTAGGATCTCAGCACCCTGAAGGGAGCATGTTGTTATTTTCTCAGAGGGGTATGCCGACTCAACAGTGGCGAGTCAGATTCAGATGTGTCACGTTCCAGAACTCGACTCGGACATCGAACAGGAAGCTCAGACCAACTATGATCGCCAGGTGTGAAGGGAATGAACAGCGTTTGCCTTTCTATGACTTGTCTGTGTGTCTGACCCATCAGTTTCTGTCTCCAGGTGTACAAAGAGGATCTGCCACAGCTCAAGAAGAAGCTGATTGGTTCCTTGAAGAGACAGAAAGCACCAGAGGAAGGGCTTCGTCTACAGTTTGTTCACGGGTAAAAAAGTTTAA